GCGGCGCTCTTTAAAAAAATATTTTATTTGTGAATTATAACTAGAACTTTTAACAATAAATAAACAAATAAATAAATTCCCGAGGTTGATTTAAGATTTGTGGTTATTTTATATTAGCGTCTTCAACGATTCTGACGGTGCTTCGATTACCGAGCCCGCATTTGAAAATAATTAGTGCGGCGCTCATTCGGGGGCGGCGCTCTTTAAAAAAATTTGATCTCAAATGCGACGCTCATTCGGGGGTGGCGCTCAATCAAGTAAATACGGTATTTAAGTTAATAAATCATATTTGGAACACTCATCAAACCATTATTTTGTTACAGTAGATTTACGTGATACACAAAGACCTGATGCACAAGGTTAATATCTATATAGCAATCGTTGAACGTTCTTGACATTTAACCCCGGGTCAAACATCATTCTTCTCATACGCCGAACCTAATAGCTGCATCAAGTGCTACACATGCAAGAGCGACGTTTAATTGATTAAATTAAGTTAAGTTCGACAGAATGGATGAGGTACGACAGAGGCTTTGGGCGACCATGGAGCGACAGGTCTTGTCACACCATGCGATTCAGCAGCTACAGCAGTTCAAACATCGCTCTTCTCATGCGCCGGACCTAATGCAGTAATTATTTTTATCTATGTTATATATGTAATTTATTTTCATGTATTTTATATATTTATATGTTAATCAAATCAAATCGAATCAAATAAACTTTATTTCATCAGGGTAGTCACCTCAGTTCAGATGTGAAGATTGTACAAAATATATTATAATAAATAATCGGACAGTTTATTTAATTAATTATAGAATCTATGCTAGAAAGATCATACTATGGATTACTAAAGTGCTCTATGGCTCTCTCTTCCTAAAATTTATGAAAACTTAAAACCTGGGAGCGACATATTAATCATGTTCGAAACTGTTCGTTTTGACACCGCTCCAACATCGCTCCAGTGTTCTATCGAAATGTATTAGGTTCGGCGATTTAAAAGATCGCGGTTTGACCCGGACTTTAGGCGCGGTCACTAAATCAATATCAGAAACGTCATTCAACAACGGAACAAAACCCATCGCATTCGATCTTTTATAACAGTCCTTTCTTATAATGACGTAAAACGCGGAAAAACACTTAAATGCGATGTCCTAACCGACAATATTTAGCGACAATTGGCAATGCAAGTTACGTTTTTATGAAATTTATTTGCTCGCCAACGACTTGCATTACGTGTTTGACGTCATTATGAGATATTCTTATTATACGTGATGAGTGATTACATCTAATTAAAAGAAATCGTGGGTGGTGATAGACGTTTGACACGGACCTTAGGCGCGGTCACTAAATCAATATCAGAAACGTCAACAACCGACTGAGTGAATAAAGCCAATCGTATTCGAACAACACTGAAACCCTAAAAAACACGTAAATACGACATCTCGACCAGTAATGTTTAGCCACAATTCTCAACGCAAGTCATGTTTCTATGAAATTTATTTGCTCGTGGCTTTATGCGTTTGACGTCATTATAAGAAAGGTTTATCATATGTGATGAGTGATCACATCTAATTAAAAAAATTGTGGGTGGTGATCGAATTTGACCGGTTATTCTTCAGTCGTTGACGTTTCTGATATTGGCCTAATAACCGCGCTAAAAGATCAAAAACAAGGAAAAACATCAAAAACAGCTCCAGGAAGTTGAAATGTTCCCTGTAACAATGCGTGACCTGCCAACTCCCATCAACTCTGGATATCATTCTCGTTTGACCGGAGCCATATATACTCAACTATTAAAAGATGAGACGAATAGATAGCCAGGGCCAGTTGTTCGAAGGTCGGATAGCGCTATCCACTGGATAGTGATTTTTCAACCTTTGTAAAATGTTTGAAAAACTGTGAAACTACGGATATAGATGACACAAGAAGTATAAAAAACATTTAATTAACTTATAAATACTAAATCCATTAATTAACAATTATTCGCCGAAGGCGAGGTGAATATCGCTGAATAAAAACCGAGACGAAGTCGAGGTTTTTATTCAGCGATATTCACCGAGCCTGAGGCGAATAATTGTTTTAGAATAATTACAAAGGTGATTATTTGAAAAAAATAATGTAACACATCTCAATTTTTTGAAAATCGTTTAGTTAAATTCATAAAGAAAGCGGTATGCGCAATGAAGGCGCTCGTATAGCCATCGAGGATGTTTTTTTGTAGTAATTCGTTTCAATTTTTCTTACAGAAAGGTATAGAATTTTGATAAAAATTCGGTTCATTTCGTCAATACTCATGTCTTCAAACTCATTTGTAAATTCTGACTGTTGTTGAAACCAATCTGTAGAAAATATATTTTTACAAACGTAAACAAATGTCTAGACAATTGTACGGCAATTTAAAATAAAACGATGTTTTATGCGAAATAAAGTTAAGCAGATTTCTGCAACTTAGTTTCCTACCTCGAAATAATTTTAAGCCAAATTTTGTCTCTTCTTTCGTGCTCGTAGGTACAGCATTTTCTTTAAAATTACTTATTTCTTTATCTGTCACTTTGGCAAAACAACTCGCCGCCATTTTGAAAAAACCGCTTAGGTGATTATCGCGTAATAATCCGAGGTCGCTTGAACAATCAGCGGCCACAATTTTCGATAATCACCTTTGTAATTATACTAATGACTGTTAATGACTTTGGCGTTATACGTTTTAGAGAGCCACTAACGACAAAATTTCGATATATCTTGCATATAATCTGTAATAACTCTCCGTTTGTAATTTTTCCTGTTTCAAGCTCGCTGGGTGAAATAAAAAAATTGTATATATCCACACGCGGTGGGCGGGTTAATCACTTTTTAATGACTCTGTAATATGAAAATATCGACCATAACAACGGCCTTGACAACGATTTTAACTTGGTCTTAGCAACTGCTTAGTTCTGTATAAAAAATTTCATATGTATATCTGAATTTTTATTATTCTTTGTTTAATAGTCCTAAACATGGTGAATGCATCCCCAGGGAAAACCAAGAATGGTGTTAAAGTAGTGGACACTCTAAGATAATCTAATAAAACCTTATAATACGATGAAGTCAAATACACCTTTTATGCTCTATTCCTATTGTCGTTTATGATTTGGGGGAATTTTGAATAAACTGGGATATTCTCTGCAGAATTTCCCCCCCCCCCCGGAATCTTTGCAAACTTCTATAAGTCAGGAATTTTCGTAATGCACAATTCTTACTGCGCATGCGTATAAGTAGAATATATACGTCCCACAAGCATTATAACAACTTTAGTAGGATATATATCGAGAATGTGTTGAAATGCACTTAGTTTGTAACAAATTAAAATGCTAGTAATCATTGGTCCACACTCTTTAAATACATTACAAGCGTGTGTAATTGATATGATATGAACTTATTCTGTGATGACTTTATGGGTGGTGCAAAGTGCACCACCCACGCTAGAACTTCCCTTTCCTATACTACTTACAATGATGCCATCTGTGTTGTTATCAGATCTTGTTGACCTCCTTGTTTTCTTTACTTTTGGTACAATGTTTTTGTCTACGTACGTAATATCGGTTGTTATTTTAAACAATTGTACCATGTCCAAGTACTCTTGCTAATAAGTCAATGGAATTAAATTTGTTCGTAGAAGTTGTTCTTTGTATGTGTCACTGGAGCGATATGGTAGTCCGAGTATGTATTTTGTTGGCGTTGCTCGTCGTTGAATTCGCTCAATGTTCTTGATGTTGTCCACTGTTTGAGGGGCCCAGACCGGCGAGGAATATGCGAGATGTGCACGAACGATAGTGAAATAGATTGTTCGCTTCGTGACTATACTTTTGATGCTGTTTGTTGTTCTTTTTACATAGCCCACGATCTTGTTGGCTTTCGCACTCTGGGTTTGTACTTGTTTCTTCCATGTCAAGTCAGTTGAAATCCAAACTCCAAGGTCCCCTTCGTGACTACAGTGTTCTAATTGTAAGTCGCCCATCGAGTAGTAGGAGGTCTCGATTAACTTAGAGCGTTTTCGTGATATTGTTTCAACCTTGCATTTCATTGGGTTAAATGCAAGGTTGGTGGATGTCGACCACTGTGTTAAGGTGTTTAAGTCCTCTTGTAGCTTTTTGCTATCAGTCTTACTCGCGATAGGCTTGAAAATTTTCGTATCATCAGCAAAGGTAGCAATTGTTGATGAAGATACTGCGTCAGGTAGATCATTGACGTACAGAAGAAAAAGGATAGGACCGAGGATAGACCCCTGAGTTACACCTGATGTTATTAGTAAAGAGGAGGATGTTGATCCAAGGACGGTGACTTGCTGGCATGGTGGAGGTATGATTGGAACCAATTGAGTAAGTTGTTATTGAATCCAAAGCGACGAAGTTTATTGATCAAAATTTCGTGATTCACCCTGTCAAACGCCTTAGTCATATCTAGGTATATGACGTCAACTTGCCCTCCTCGATCAAGAAATTTGCCAATCTTGTCCAAAACGCCCACGAGTTGTGAAGTACAAGATCTTCCTGGCATGAAGCCATGTTGACAATCGTTGATGACGTTTTGTAGATGTTCCCAGATGTGATTTAATACGCATCTCTCCAGTATACTTCTGAGACGATGCAGAGTAGAGAAATTGGTCTGTAGTTTTGAACGTGTTTTTTAACTCCCTTTTTAAAGATAGGAACGACGTTTGCTAATTTTCACTCGTCAGGTAATACCGCCGAATGAAGAGATTTGTTGAACAGCAAGGTAAGAGTTGGCGCTATATGCTGAGCTGTTTCTTCTTTCAGGATTCTATCAGGAATACCATCTGGTCCGAGTGCTTTTTCCGGGTTAAGACCTTCTAAAACCGCGACGACTTCAAGTTCAGAAATGTTTAGTTCATCTAGATTTTGTGGAGGAGCTTCACCTAAATCAGCGGGATCTGTATCTGTCATTTCGCGATTGTGAAGATGATCAGTGAATACAGAGGCGAAATAGCCATTAAACAACTCCGCAATCGATTTCGTACTGTTCGCAATTTTGTGGTCGTTTACGGTCGTCCAAGAAACAAACTGTGGTATATTTCTGGATTTGGAATTCAATTTAAACAGTTTCCAAAAACATTTTGGATTTGAGTACAGTGTTTTCTCAAGACTATCAAAGTATTGTTTGCGACTATTTTTAAGAAGATATGTTTGACTTGAGCGCGAAGGTTCTTGAACTTTTCTTGCAGGTAAATTGATGGAGATCGACCTAACTTGCGACGCACAGTTTCCTTTATCTTCAACAAGTGCCGGATTTCTCCTGTAAGCCATGGGATGTTTTGTCCATTTTTTATTTTTCTCATCGGAACAAATTCCGCTACTGTTCTCAAGAATGTATTCTTCCATAAAATCCAGGCGTCATTTATGTCGTCCATTTCGGAAATCACGCCACACAGATTTGATGAGTCGATGGCTGCGCGAAGTCCATCGAAGTTTGCATTCTTGTAGTCGTAAATCATTCTCATTGTTTTCGGTGGTTTAGCGGGGTTTCAGTCAATTTCAAACGAGATGACGTCACGATCAGTAACAATTCCTGATGTTACTCGTGATTATGCAGTCCAATACGTTATTTCCCCTTGTAGGATGTGAATTTACTTGGGTTAAGAAATAATCCTTCAGGATTTCTAAAAATTGACAGCTTGTTCCTTTGGCTGGTGCGTCAATATCACTTTGCCAGTCGATATTTCGGAAGTTCAAGTCACCGGCAGGAATCACGTTATCATAGTTGTTGCAAATGTACGTCAGCAAGAAAGTTATTAAATTCCGTTAGCCATGCTTCGTTTGAGTTTGGGGGTCTATAGCATGAACACACAATTAAATGTGAGTTCAAGTCAGTTAAGATATCAATAATTAAAATTTCGAGATTCCTATCAGTTTTAATTTCACGAATACTTCAGTAAAAAATTCACTTTTAACTGCAACAAGTACACCACCACCTCTGCTCTCTCTGTCTTTACGGAATATTTCATAGCGCTCATCAAGAATCTCACTGTTCGAAATGTCACTATTTAACCATGTTTCGCTAACACACACAACGTCACTATCCTCTGAGTAAACTAGATCTTGGAAACAATTAACGTAGTTAATTATTTCGTTGCCTTGTTTGTGCTGACTTTTCAAACTTCGAGCATTAGTTAGTAGACATTTTAAATGCGAATTGGTTTTCAACTTCGGTTGTGTTGGATTGGGACCGGGATTCGTCGCGATGTCTCCAGCAAGTAAGATGCACAATAGAAGATGTAGATTTCTATTCTTGTTTTCAAACTGTAAGCCATACTCGGTGGTAGGAAAGCATGGCAGTTTTCTAAGGATTTTAGCTCGAGTGGAAGTCCATAAACAACTCAACCTTTCTGAAAGTGATGTTGAAATTGTAAAGTTCTGCGGAAATTTTTTAACGTCAATGCGAACAAGTGTAGGTGTCGACCTGGATAGCAGCCAGAAAGCTATTGTAATACAGATAACCCAACAAATTGCAGAAAAAATCAAGTTTCTACGACGATTTGAACTTTTTTCCCTCTCATTATTTTAATTTGTTCTAGTTCTAATTATTTGCGAGATTCTTGTAAAATTGTTCTAATTAAACAGCAGCTTGCGCGTGCCGTTTGCTTACGCAATAATAATAATAATAATAATAATATCATATTTATACAGGTTAAAACTTGTTTCAGCAACATATATTGCTGGTATCAACCAAGGACCTGTCAATGTCTGTCCACTAGACTAATATTATTACTACACTAAGCTATGGTAGTTACCTAAATATAGTATAAAATATATAAAATGTGAAAGATAATTTATGTACAGTTTTAAAAGTCAAAGTTAAACTCTTTGCAACCAGACTTAAATCTTAAAAATGATTGTTCTGTCTTTAACTCACTAGGTAGTTTATTAAAAATAATTGTCCCTTGGTATGCAAAAGTTTTCTTACCGGTTTCAGTTCTTATCTTTGGAAGGACAATGTTCGTGTTATTCGCACGTGTACATTTAACGTGTGCAACTCTTTTAAAATAATCTTGAAAGGCTTTTGGCGCTATGCCATTTAAACATTTAAAAACCTCAAGAGCACAGGACCTATTTCTAATTTCGTTCACACTTGGCAGCCTTACGGTACTTCGCCGACCATTTATTACTCTCAATGCTCGATTCTGGATTTTCTCAATCTTTTCCTGGTTGGTGGTAGATAGCTTCAGGTAAACAGTGTTACAGTATAACATTATTGGTAAGATCATCATTTTGTATTGTTTCTGTTGTCGATGGGCTAACATTCTGTCTTATGCGATACAGAAGTTTAACTCTTGATGTTGCTTTCTTTATTGTCTTCTCCAGATGTTCAATATAATTTAAGTTTTTGTCCATCCTAACACCCAGATATTCATACACTTGCGATTGCACAATGTTGATTCCACCGACTTTTATTTCCATTGGTCTTGATTTGGAAGTTTTTTATGAGTACCATAGAGAACACACTCCGTCTTTGAACGTTTGAGGTTTATTACCAAGTTGTTTGGGACAAACCAGTTGGAAATCTGTTCCATGTCATTGTTAAGGTGTTCTTCAATTCTTTCACAAGTTCTGTCGGCATGGTATATGACAGTATCATCAGCGTACTGGATAATTTCACACCGTTTCAGATGAATATCAATATCATTGACTAGAAGGACAAACAACAAAGGACCCAGAATTGAGCCCTGGGGCACCCCGTAGGAAATTGGCTGAACTGATGATTCAACACCCTCAAATGCAACAAATTGTGTTCTGTTAAAAAGATAGTCTTCGAACCACATAAGTTCGTCGTTTCTGATGCCGTAAATGGTCAGTTTCGACAGCAAGCGAGCATGATCAACGGTGTCGAACGCCTTTCGTAGGTCGATAAATATTGCACCAGTCATTAAACCTTTATCCATGTTTTGTCTTATGGAATCAGAAAATTTTGTCACTGCATGCTGAGTCGATGATTTGGTTCGAAAGCCAAATTGATTTTTTGAAAGGAGATTATTTTCTTCAAGATATGCATATAGTTGTCGGTGGACCACACGCTCAAACACTTTGGAAAGCACCGGCAGGATGGAAATGGGCCTATAGTTGTCCAAAAGTGATCTTTCTTCAGACTTGTATATTGGTGTAATTTTCGCGCATTTTTCTGCTGATGGAAAGAGGGAATTTTTTAAGCATCGGTTGATTATTGTTGTTAACGGCTCAGCCAATATATCAGCGCCATCTTTTATAAAAGATATAGGGATTTCGTCATAACCTTGGGCTTTCTTTCTGTTCAGTTTCTTCATAACATCCTTGATCTCTTTACTGCTGACCTTCTGAAATTTAAAAGTGCAGTTTCGAGGGTTTAGTTTACGTTTGGAATTTGAATGATCATGGTGCATCCAGGCTATATCAGTCAACTTTGGTAGAACGTCCTGCAGCCTTTTTCCAATGCTGGTGAAGAATTTGCAGAAACCATTCGCAACCTCATTCACGTTCGACGTAGGCTTGCCATCAACGTTAAAAACTTTAGAGCCAGCGTCTCTTGATCCCTTCGTTGGAAAACACTTCTTTATTTGATTCCAAAATTTCCTTGGTGTATTGATGTTTTCTCTGAAGATTTGTCTCGTGTAATTCGCTTTACTTTGTCGGATTGATCGCGTCACATCATTTCTAAGACGGCGATACGTTGACCAGTCGATCTCTTTACCTGATTTTCTCGCCTTTCTGAGATAATAGTCCCGTTCGTAGGTCTTCGTTTTTATTTCATTTGTAAACCAGAGACTGTCTCGACCACGCACTCTTTTCTTAGTTAGTGGGGCATGTTTGCCTATCACCGATTTCAAAAGGCTTTTGAAAGTATCCCACGCATTATTAATATCAGGCTCCTGCGTTACATTTTCCCAATCTAGATTACGTAAATTTTCCTTATAGTTAGCTTCATTATACTTTGCAAAGTTTCTCGTATATATTGTTCTCGGTTTGAATTTACGATTGCTTTTCTTCATAATCATTCCCACGAGGTCATGATCACTGATGGAATTTGCATATGTCTTTAGGATGTTTTGTTCATGACTAGTTGCTATGATATCGATAAGCGTGCTTGAGTCTTTTGTCACCCTAGTTGGTTTTTTAATTAGCTGTTTTAAGCCGTTTGTGCTGATAATACGCTTGATGTTTCTATCCTTCGATTGTTTTAAATAATCGGCATTCATGTCCCCAACTAAAATAGTCTGTTTATCCTCACACATGCTAGTGTTTATCATGTCCTCGAATACGGTTTCAAACTCTGGATGCAGGTATTTTGAAGTAATTGGCGGCCTATATATGTTACAGACAAGCAGGGATCTTGCATTCTTAATAAAGATCTCTAACCATATCGCTTCAACGCCATCATATTCTAAATCAGTTCGTCTTTGCCATCCTAAGTCGTTGCGAATAAAACAACCCACTCCACCGCCGGGGCCGGTCTTTCTATCATTTCGGATAAATGTATATCCGTTCACTTTTACCTCCTCTTGCATGATGTCGCTATTCAAGTGTGTTTCGGATATCCCCAATATATCAATTTTCCCGCTCGTCTCCTTCAGCAAGTGATCAACTATATCAATTTTCCGTACTAGGCCATTAACATTTTGATGAAAGATCTTCAGGCCTCTAGCCTGGAGAAACGTTTTTACATCATCATAGAGTGTATTAAGGATACTAGGCTCGCTGGTTCGGCTTTCATTTATGTTCACACACACTGGACAATATAACTTCCCGTGGCCATATTCAACCACGTCTACTAGGCACTTTAGATGGCATTTACTTTCGCAATGACAGCACGTTTCTGAGCTTTGGTTTTTTCGTATCGTCTTGTTACAATTAAAGCATTTTACACTTGGACCAGGGCAGAGTTCAACGTCTCCAGCCAGAATCAACAATAGGCTTAAGCCAGAATATGACTTTTGGCCTAAGTGAATGCCTCTTTCTTGCTTATAAACCCACAGCGAAGTCGTAATGCGAGAGTTACATGCATCCGTAACTTCTCCACCATCAAACGAATAACAAACTGAATTTGAACTGGCAAAAGATTGCTTCTTAACATTTGATAAAGCAAAAATCAGGAGAGCGATGTTTATTGCAGCCGCCATGGTCGAACTGCACTTTTCCACTTGCTACGATGGTAAAATTCACTTTGTTTTATCAAAAATTCTTTCAATCCAACTGAGATAACAATAGAATAGAATAGAATTTTATTTGCACTCGAAAAAAAAAATGACAAGATTATTACAATAAAGTTTTACATGAAAGAGAACGGTGCTGGGGAATTGGAGTAACTAAAGTTTTCGAGCCAATTCCCCATAAGAAATATATACAACAATGAATTAAATATGGCAAATAATAATACAAAAGAAAAATAAATTTAGAAATATATATAGAAATATAATAAATACATATATACACACATACTGTACATTAACAATTTGTATCACACACAATAGGTTTGATTTGATTATAGTATATCGATATAAGACAGCATATAGTAAACATTTGATATTAAGAATAGGTATCAAGGCAATTCTTTTTAATTCTTTTTATTAGAGATTTCCTAGGTTGTAATTTGTCTTGATTATCAAGAGAACTCCAGATTTTTATTCCAGAAAATTTTAATGTGAATTTTCCTGAGTTACTAGAAACAGATGGCAAATGAAAGTTATTGGTTGAATATCGAGTATAATGTTGATGTATTTCTGAAGAATGTGTAAAATAATTAGAAAATGCTACTGGTAACCTATTATTAAAGTAATCGTACATAAAAGTGAATTTTTGGGTGTAAACAATGTCTCTTACTTGAAGAATACCCAGTAATTTGTAGATAGGTGGAGCATGAGATCGAGGTTCGGAAAAAGTCATGATCCTGACAGCTTTGTTGTTTAAAATGTTTAACTGATTAAGACGAGACTGATACGTATTTCCCCAAATAATTGCCCCATTATAAAGGTAAGGATATATTGGGGAGTAATAAACATTTTTTAGTGTGTCAAGATCAACATAGTGACGTAATTTTGAAATCATGCCAATATTCTTGGAAAGTTTCTTACATATAATGTTTATATGAAATTTCCAACTCAAGTTTCTGTCAAGAAGAACACCCAGATATTTAAAAAATTCTGACTGCTCTAGTAAAGAGCTATCTAACTTGATATTTGGAATATAGTGAAATTGTTTTATAACGGATGAAAATATCATAAATTTCGATTTTTTTATATTTAGCGATAATTAATTTGCTTTAATCCAATGGACCATTTGCATTACAGACTAAATTTTGATCTAGACAGGAATTTCATCACAGCTTGAAAGAGCATCACAAAATTAGTAATATTCCAAAGTTTCGTTGCAAAATGTTG